CTTTATTTTGTAAATATGGACCTTTGGCTACTCCCAGTTCCCTTTCTTATGGAAGTATAATTTCTGCTTGTTCCCTGCTTCCTTGTCTTATGGAAATGTAACCTTTGTGGCTCTGTAGGCCTGTTTCTTCCATGGACCCCGCTTAGTTAAAAAAATTCCCTAAACCTGCCTTTTTCACCCCTGAAAATTCCTATTTCACAGCGGTGTGAGAAATGATCAGTTCCTGAATGACTGTAGCTCTTTGGGTTTGGAGAGGGGAAGGGGCAGGCCTGAGGAAAATGTAAGATGTTCAACCGTCAAGGTAAATGACTTATTAGATATGAGAAGGGAGGAGAGGTAAGGAAACACATTTAACCAGCCCACAGATCTGAAAAGCAGGTTGGATTAAGCTTAGGTAGGGCCTGCTGCTAGCTATTATTTCTCCACATGAGTCTTTAGTGATCAATGTAAGCAAATGAAATCTAGGACACGAAAGAACTTTATTTGCTTTTGGATAATAAGGCCAAGGGTATCATTAAAACAGATTAAGGTCAAAGACACATTATAAAAAGGACACATTCTCAGAAGAAAATGAATCTTCAGGGTGGTGAATTATGTTAGATTTTAGGTACATTAGGATTAAAGCAACATCTAAACTATGGCCTCCTTCCCCGTTCTATCAAATGGCCCACAACTCCATTTGCACAAGGGTCAGCAAAAACAGAGTTGAAAGGAAATCTTTTAACAGCCTGAGAATGATGACAAAGGAAAAATTTGCAAGACTGGATTGGAGAGCTGGGCTTACATTGTTCTGTGGAGGGGAGGTGGGGTTTGAGGAAGATGGGGGCTGGGCATGGAAAGGCTTGAAGGAGAGGATCTCAGCCAAAGGACGATGACCATCTTTTTGGAAAACTGTAGTAACTGTTTAGGATGCCCAATGAAAACTTAAGCAATGAGGTTGTGTCCTTCTGGCAGTTTAAGAGTGAAAATTAGCCAAGCCAAAGGCAGAAATCTCACTGTCCTTGTTACTCCATATGGCTTTGGGATTCTTCTCTGCTCCCCCCTTCTCCACCCCTCCCCTATCCCCACACCCCCTGCAAAGAGTTTCTGGGTTTGGGAATGGCTGTGGCAGTGGGGTTAGGGTGAAGAATAATCTCATTCCTTGACCAATGGATGCACAGTGGCTTGGTTGTGGCAGAATGCATGGGAGAACGATCAGCCAGCACTCTGACAGAGGAAAGTTTAACCTTTATTTCTCAGATCTGCTAGTCCAGGGGAATTCCAGATCCAAAGTCTGAACTGAACTCATGGGGAGGCTCTGACCTATATATCTCCTCCTGTGGCAGGACCCTGAGGGTCCCCCGAGCTCCGCCCAAGTCAGTGGGGCCTTGGGGTCATGCTCCACAGCTCCGCAGCTCTGCCCTGTGGCAGGGCCCTGGGGTTACGTTCTGCAGCTCCACCCAAGTCAGTCAGAGTGGGGAAGTAAGACTACAGTTTTAACCAGATACTGAACTAGGTTGCAAGCCTCCCCGCCCCCGCCCCGCCCATTTTCCTTTTCAGCTTATGGCCCTACTATGGACAACAGGACATTGTGAAGGCATCAATTGGCAGACAAGTCCCAGGTGGGAGCTATGGTAAGGCAGAATCCCCTCCTTTTCTCTGTTTCTGAGATCAACTTAGAGACATTAAGAGGACACAAAGGGGATGTACAGTTTCTGAGGTGGAAGGGGGGTGAGGGCTGCCACACTCAGGAGTCATTGTTTGCTGATGAGTCTCAGAGATTCAGACTGAGGTTTCCACTTTTCATGGTGGGTAACTGTATATATTTCAACATTGGGTATGTGCAGGTGCTATTGATGAGGCAGAAAAAGAAAAAAATGTGTTGTGTTGTGCTAGAGTGCTCTGAGGCTTGATACTCAGATTTCTTAAAATTTGGTGGCCAGAACCTGGGAGAAGCTGCTATTCTAAAGCAGGTTGTAGTTTTCTGATTTTTAAAAATCCTAACCTGAGGATATATTTTTTTTTAATTGATTTTTAGGAAGAGGAAGGAGGAGAAAGAAAGAGAAACATCGACTGAAGCTCAATCTGAGTATTCCCTGTAAGTAAAGTTCCAGCAAAATAGATCTGAAAGAGTCTATATAATCCATTACTATTCTTGTATTCATGCAGATAATCAGACCAAATTAAAACTAAACTTGATAAAATACTCTTTGATAAAAATGAGGGTAATTTTATGAGGGAGAATGTGTTTCAATAGATTCCACATACATAGTTGTAAATGTTATACTCTAGTTCAGTTCATTATCTTCAAAGTTTTATTTTTCACCCATTAGCTAAACTAAACTAGATCCTGATTCTTAAATATTTTACTACAACCCTCTAAATTAGTGTTTCATTTTTCTCTCATCCGTTGAGTTGAAATTATTTAACAACTGAAACTTTCTTTTTATTGAACTATTTGTCATAATTCTTGTCATTCTAGCTTTTGCCCCAATAATATTAACATTTATAAAACAGTGTGTATCCACCAGGTTTCAAGGCCTACTTGTTTGTACTCAGGAACTATCACCCCTAGACACCATCACAACCTCCTTTAGTGCCCAGGCCTCATCATCCCTTTGACAGAGAGCAAGGATCTTTTGCTTTGAAGGAAAACGTCGCCCCCTTTCAGCAGGTAGCATCTATAGAAGAGACCCTATGCCCCTTTTCTCTGAAAGAATTCAGTGGCAAAAAAATCCTTGAAGGCGGGGTGGGGGGTAGGGGTGGGAGGAGGAGGGGTTTTTAGACCCTCAGAGCAAGGACGATGGCCAGGTACAGAAACCCACCATGGCAGAAAACCCCAGATGCCTACCAAGGGGCAAAACTGGGAAAACAAGAACCTTGCCCCCAGGGCAACCTATCCTCCTCCTAGCATATCACTGGTCATACAGTTTGGACCTTGGATCTTTCATATCACTGGTCAGGTGGTTTAGACCCCTTAACCTTTTCCTCCCTAAAGATAACATTTAGGCCTCAGTTGCATTTCAGCACCAGAACCAGAAAAGCAGCAAAACCAGACAAGTGACACCATAGTTGCCTCAGAACCAGCTACATTGACTAATGACCCCCTGCCCTGGTACAGACCAATCAGTGGAGATCATGACCCTGAAAGAGCTCACCTGGAGAGCTGATGACTTCTATTAAGATCCTCCCCTGAGAACTTCCCTAAGATTTCCACCTTCAAGAAAGAGATGAATGCACTCAGGACAAAGGATCCAGTGCATGCCGAGAGATCTCCCTCCTGTGCCATTCCCCCCGAGGAATATATCCCCTAACCTCTAAGCCAAGGGACCCCATGAGACTTGCAACCAGGGGAGCAATGGATAGTGGCTGCTCATCCTGGGCTAACCCCCTGCACCTGTCTCCAAGGCCCCTTTTTCTCTGTGTAGCCCTTCCTGTTGGATATCCCCACCTTCCATCCCATTTTCCTTAAATAAATCCAGTTTTCTTTAATCACTGCCTGAGATGGCTATTTAGCCTGCCAGAGTACCACAATGTTAATCTTTCAGTTGCCTCCCGTACGCACCCAACCAGAGATCCAACCTGCAACCTAGTATGTGTCCTGATCAGGAATCAAACCCACAACCTTTTGGTGTACAGCGGACCACCAACCAACTGAGGCATCTGATCAGGGTTCTGATTTATTTTTTGACTGAAGACTGCTCTTTTGTTTTGAGGAATCTCTTCTCAATTCTTGCATGGTGTTCTTAATTTGGCAAAAGCAAAGACCAACTCTTAAAGTGGAATGGACAGCTGGGACACTGCTAAACTGCTCTGCAAAAAAAGCCAGCATTAGTCTTAGATTATGAAATGGGTTGGGTTGCAGGTTGGAGGGAAATTCTTCTCTGTTGGTGACTTGTACGAGATGTTGAGAAGAGTGGAGAGATGACCTTGGGGGAAGGAGAGTCCTTTGGGGAGGCAATGGGCTGTAGATGCTGTGCTTGCAATAGTCACTTCTAAATCTTCTAGGCCAGTGGTTCTCAACCTTCCTAATGCCGCGACCCTTTAATGCAGTTCCTCATGTTGTAGTGACCCCCAAGCAAAAAATTATTTTCGTTGCTACTTCATAACTGTAATTTTGCTACTGTTATGAATCGTAATGTAAATACCTGATATGCAGGATGTGTTTTCATTGTTACAAATTGAACATAATTAAAGCATAGTGATTAATCACAAAAACAATATGTAATTATATATGTTTTCCGATGGTCTTAGGAGACCCCTGTGAAAGGGTCGTTCGACCCACAGGTTGAGAACCGCTGTTCTAGGCGTTGTAATTCTGCTATTGCTGTATTCTCAAACTTTCAGTGACATCCTAGTGTTAGCTGTGTACAGGAACTGCCTCTGCCCCCAAGCCAGAGTGGAGGTAGCCAAAGGTGGGTAGCTAGTGGTTCTGAAGCTCTAGGGGAGTGGCTTACGGCAGAATTTCAGAATATTATTTATTGAACAAATGATGAATAAAGCCAATTGTCTTGTAACTTGTAATTTCGTCTCTCCCAGAAGACTTCTAGGGTGGGGGATTGGTGCTGGTTCTCAGACCCGGTTCAACTTCCAGCTTGCTTTATAACCTTAGGCACATGACTTAATCGCTCTGTGCCTCGATTTCCTTATTTATTAAAAAAAAGGGGGGGGGCACAAGATTCTCCATTGCCTGTGGTTGCTGGGAGAAACGAAAGTGACAGTGCCTGTCAAGTACAAGGTAGAAGCAAAATGAAGGGCTCCTTCCACGGCAAACGCTTGTTAATTCATCTGACCTACCTTTCTCTTGGGCACTCGTACTGAGCGCCTCCTCTGGTTCAGGCCCCCGGAACGCCCCCTCCCTGGTGTGGAAGCCTCACGTGCAGCCTGTGGGCCTTGTCCCGCGGGCCGCCTCAGGATTGGCTCCGCCGAAGGGAAGAGCCCCACCCACATCCCTTTCGATCTCACCCCTGATTGGGCCGCGGCCAGCCCTTAGGGTGCGCGTGCGCAGATCGAGGGCGAAGATGCCTTCCGGTCGGGAGGGAGGAGGTGACGTTGAGCGCGGCGGCAGGCGGGGTCCTCCCGTAGCCCTGGGGACGTTGTATGTGTGGGCCTGCCGCTCGCGTCACCAGTCGGCGACTGAGCTTTGGCTGTGGTGGCTGAGGCGGCGAAGGCGGCAGCGGCGGCGACAGCTCTGGGGTTTGCGTCTCGGGGTGTGTCGGCCGCCGCTGCTGCTT